AGTCAGCTAAGTTTGTGGTTGTTTTGTAACGTTTTTGAAAGAAGTCTCTTCTACTCAACAAGGCGTTTATTTGATCAAAAATAATGTAAAACACTAATATTGTGAAGTATTTGATTACAATTTTAAAAAGTTTTTTTTTTCTTTTTAACCTTCAAATGGTCTTCGTTTCCTGTTTACACTTCTGGGCTTTGGGGTCTATACGACCCCAACAATTGATTGAGTAATTGTACAAAAAATATAAATTTTTAATCATACAAATAATATATCATTTTTTTTTTGTTTACTTCTCATCTATTCATTAATGCTGTGTTTTTGGAGATATAAAGTACTGTTGTATCCATATACTACACCATTAGCTTGCATATGAAATTTTTTTTTATGATACATTGCATTTATGCTCTAGTACTAGGCCTTCATTTCTGTGTAAAAATGTTCAGATTTATGCCGGATTTTTTTTTTTTTTTTTCTCGACACATGAAGAAAATATATTTAGATATTTCGTTTTTTTCACATTTCCCATTCATTTCAGTGTGGGGTCATATTGACCCCGAAGACCAGAAGTGTAAACATTTTTTTTTTTTTTACATGCCTTCAGAACAACCAAATCAAGCCCAGTTTTTTGTGTGAGTATAGATAGAAAATGTATGAAAAGTCACAAAATCTTATTCCACTGAGATGAAGGGAACCTTTTTTTTAATTAAGTAAAAGTCGATTGGGGCCTTATAGACCCCATGACCTGATTGAGGGCTATATATATTTTTAAAAAGTAATTTATTCCTGTGATGCAAAGCTGAATTTTCAGCATCATTACTCCAGTCTTCAAGTGTCACATGATCCTTCAGAAATCATTCTAATATACTGATTTGCTGCTCAATAAATATTTCGGGAACACTTTCCAAATGTTTCCAACACTTTCATTAGTTAACTTTAGTTAATTATCATCAACTAACAATAAGCAATAAATTTGTTACAGTTTTTAATTAATCTTTGGAAATGTTAGACAATAAAAATACAGCATTGTTTATTCATGTTAGCATTAACTAAATATTAACAAACAACCTTTGATTTGAATATTGTATTAGTAAACGTTGAAATTAATATTAAGAAGTATTGTCCATGTAGTTAACTAATGTTAACTGATGAACTTCATTGTAAAGTGTCACCAACATTTCTTATTATCACAGTTAAAACACTGGGTGTGCTGCTTTATATTTTTGTGGAAACCGTGACCAACCGCATTTGCTTAAAATACAAATCTTTTGAAACTTTATAATGTCTTTATTGGCACTTTTGATCAATTTAATTTTAATGCATCCTTTCTGCATACAATTAAATGTATTCAAACTTTGACTGACCCAAGACTTTTGAAAGGTAGTGCATGTCATTGCATGCAAACTCGTCTACTGTATACTTGAATTTCCATGTATAGCCTGATTAGTTGCCTTTTATAAGGCAATATCGTGATGCACTATTGAATGTACAATAACATTCCCCAACTCCCCACAGGATGTCTGAATGGGTTGTTGAACAGCAAGATTATTCTGTGTGATGCTTATAAAAGAACAATTTCCAATGAAATGAAACTGAAATGAAACTGGAGAGCATCTCCAACATGCTCTGATTATATTAAACCAAACCTGAAAGCATGCCTTGAATATTAAGGTTCTCTAGTCTAGACTGTTAAACAAGGATGTTGTTTCCTCTCTCTCACTCTCTCTGAACCCAATTACTAAGTGAAATGTGCACCTGGAATGTGAGGAGGCGCACTGATTGTTTAGACATTGTGTTTATTTGGCCAGATCAAGGCACTGATCCAGCAGGCCAAACACACATATGCGGCACAAACAAATGACTCGGACAATCAGCTAGTTTGCATTGCTAATGTGATGAGACAGGATTAATTCCAACAAGTGCAACACAAAGACCAAACAGTGTTCAAGGGAAACACAATGCGAGTCAAAAGTTTAGACACTTCACTGAATTTGTTTGTCAAGATCGTAAAAACCTGTTGATCTAAAGACTTTTGCTTAAATCGTTTGTAGACAAATGTAAATTGTGTATTTTTATGTATAAACAAAACTTGAGTCGTCATTATTTCTCCCTTTTTTGTGTGTTGGCGGAGATAGTGAAGGAAAAGCAGCTTGTAAGTGTAAAGTACACCAATGCAAAACATCAGGGTTATAATATTGCCTTCAAATCCTGGAGCGGCCATGTTGAATCTGTAGCACTATCTAAACACTATTTAACACTGATGTCATTTTGTGTGCAGCCATTTTGTTGGCTTCCTCAAGCCCAATCTAAGTGTTCACCAGACCAGAGATTTGTGTGTGCACGTTCAGTTGTTCTGGTCTGTGTAACTCACTTGAATAACTAAACAGTATGGCTTATTAGCAAGAGTATCGAGACCTTTGCAAAGCAATGCAATGAAAAAAACAAAAACAGTGAGAGTCAACAAATGCATTGCACTAGTCTAAGTTGACTGTGACCCCAGAGTTCAAAGTATATAATCACCCTGATAAAACTGATTGTGCTCAGAGTGTGTAGAAGTAAACAGCGCTGAACTATCACTGTCTCATGCCCTCTATACACAGCAGAGCATGTCTGACATGTGACTGAAGCTATTAGAGCTCTTATCTTCAGTCACTGCAGTGGAACAAACACCATTATTTCAGCACACAGAAAGTTGTTTGTCATACTCTCTAGTTATCTGGAAAGATTAAGTTTGCAATAACCCAAACACAGAGACTGACGCCTTGGCAGTGAGAACGGGTTGTCTGATTATAGTTTTCTGTGAATGGGGAAAATGCACAGGATACATTTTATTCACATATAAACATTCATCAACTCACACATCAGTTATGGTAAACGGAAGCTTAAGCATATTCGCTTGACGTGCGAGAACCAATTGTGTTGCAGCAAGTTTGAGCCTCAGTAAGAACCAACGAGCTTCTGTTTATGTTTACTGATTAATGTTTATATGAATAAAAGACTAGATTAAATCGGCTCAATATATAAAGTCATCGTGTCTCTTCAGAAAATTTGGACTTAACCGCTCAATTCACATGGATTAGTTTGGCAATGTTTTGAAAAGTTGTGTAGACTGTTAATGGGACAGAACGCTCTCAGATTTCATTAAAAAGATCCTCGATTGTGTTCTGAAGATGAATGACAGTCTGATTTGTAACGACGTAATTAATGGTAGAATTTTCATTTTTGGGTGCACTATCCCTTTAAGAATATTGTCAATGTACAGCGATTCATCATTGTATGTTTTGGTGTGACTCCATCCATTAAACATCCACAATAATTTTAGTAACATTTATTTATATTTTTCCATTCACTTATATTATTTAAAACAAGACAAGTATTCATAAAACACAAACCGGGATATGGATCATTACAGGTTGAAAAACAGGTGTAAAGGAAGTTGTGAAGTTGTGGTTTTAATTATATATATTTTTAAAAAAAAATTTCCAAGATGGCAGACTAAACAGACGGTTTGGTGCTTTAGATTCAAGGGCCGCATGAGCCAACTCAGTGTTTTGTATTAAATCCGCACAGATTTCATTCTAGATGGGCGATTTCAATTTCACACAAAGAATTGTAGATGTACATGGTCTCTATGGTCCTTCCAGTAGTTGAGTGTTTTGTTGTGCTGTGGAGAATGGCTGATTTCTGCATCTGACAGCAGTATTCTTCAGGTTTAGGATGCCTGCTGTCTGCAGAGCAGAAGGTTCTGACAAGCCTTTCCTCAGGATCCACTTCAGGTTAAAACAGGTTATTCCTTTGTAAATATAAATACATATTCTATGGTTTAGTTCCGGACAAAAAGCCTTACACAATAGATTTTAATAACAAAAATTTTTAAATAGTGCTTTTGTATTATAAAGTGTTTTACTAATTTTCCTATCTAAAAAAAGAGCAGAACTTTAATGCTCTCTATTAAGATACATTAAAAATGAAACGAATTTTTTTTCTCTAGTATGCTAGGTACTGTTTCTATGCTCTCATAAACGGGTTACTGCTCGCTTAAATAAATAAATTATTGTAATTTTTCATAAACGTGGTGTCAGTTAGCCTACATCAATAAAAACATTACTTTTTTTATTGTATTTTGTTGTCGTTTAAAAATCATTCTAAATAATTAGGCTACTTGCAATGTGAAATTCGTACGTGTCAAACAACTCAATGATACAATGTTAATCTTTTTCTTCAAATTAAATATTTAAATATGTAAAATATAATAAAATAATAGTTGATTTTTATTAAAATATTTACATTTAAATATGAATTTCCTATAAATACAGCAAACAATGATAAAACTTAACGTGAACCGATCTGACCGTCGGGAGGAATTTTACAAAAATGGTGGAAAATATTTCATATTTAAGAAAAATAAATGACACGTGCATTGTTGATATTTTAATACATTTATATCTGAACATACTGTATGAAGATATACGTTTACAAGTCATTTTTATTAGGCTACAAGCAGATAAAGCTCCAATGTTGGTCTAGACAATTGGTCGCGAATAAACAGAAAAATTGTCAAGATTATTGTTCAGATATTTTATTTAGCCTATGAAAATTTTTTTTTTTAAATTGATTAGCGAAAGGTTAAAGTATATCTTCTTTTGCAATAGATATAGGCTAAATCTCTTAAAATAATAATCCTTAGGGGTATATAATATAATCGCTTATATATATCCCTATATATAAGCGATTGTTTATATTATTGTTATGAAGATAAGGCTAAGACAGGTGTCTTGGACTTTGACCACCCATGTTCCAGACGACTAATTCAATTTAATTCAAAACGCAAATACTTCAGAACGTCCAGTTGGTGCAGTAAATATTAGTCCACTGCTTGAACCGAATAGGAAACAGCTTAAGATAACTTTATGATTGCGGTGACACGTGCTCTGAGCATCAACCGATGCCTGAAGTGCTTTTGAAATGGCAGAGTTAGGAGGAGGCACGCGTCCTAATGAGCTCCCTTTCAAACCTGTTGAATAGAGACAAGCACACTGCGGCGAGACCTGGAGCTATTTAATGGCCATTACGCACAGGGCTTCCCAGTTTACGCACGATAGAAGCTCTCCTCACGCTGTTTTAGTGACATCTGAGAAAAAAGGAGGGGAAATGGAAGACATATTTTTTGATTTTGATCAAGATGCTGCCACAGACTTTCCCTTCTGGGGCCAAATGGACCCTAACTCTCAGTTCCAGTCTCAGATGGACACGCTGCTCTTTGACTGCAGCGCTATGACAGGTCAGCTGTCCCCCTGGTCCTCGTTCGGGTGCCAGTCTGTGTTCCCAGAGGCTCAGCTGACTTTCACGGACTTAGACACGCAGTCTCCGCAGCTGGAGGTCGGTGCTGAAGTGGACAGCTCCTCAGTCGACGATCCCCATGAGAACAGCAATCGCAGACAGCGGCGCTTGACGTCCCATCATCCGTACAAGGTGCAGCGCCACGCCGCCAACATCCGGGAGAGGAAAAGGATGCTCAGCATCAATTCTGGATTTGAGGAGCTGCGCTGCCACGTGCCCACCTTCCCCTACGAGAAACGGCTCTCGAAAATAGACACATTAAGATTGGCCATTGCTTACATCGCCCTGCTCAGAGAAATCCTCATGTCAGGTTGTGACCCCAAGTCATATGTGGATGAATGCATGAAGAACGGCTATAAGAATCAGACCAATGCCATCTGGAACACAAGTGGTAAGAAGACAGTTTGAGTTCATTAAATATATATCAAATGTATTTAATTTAGATGAAACATTTAAATTCATATTAATTTTCAAATGAAACTTTTCACTCTAATGTTTTATATGTATATACACTCCAAAAAATGCTGGGTTGTTTCAATGTTGGGTTAAAAATGCAATTAAAAAAAATACAGTTGAAAATTAAAGTTAATTTAAAATAACATTTTTAACCCAACATTTGAGTTTGTCCTTATTTTATATATGTGTTATGTTATATATATATATATATATATATATATATAAAATAAGTACAAACTCAAATGGTATATATATATACAGTATGTATACCACATGACCAGAATGACGCCTCAACTTCTCAACTCAACTGTTTTAACTCAAAAACCCAAACGTTGGATTAAAAATGCAATTTAATAATGTCCATATTTGACCCCAAAACAGTATTTTTAGAGTGTATCAAAGATGAATTATAATTTAAATCATAATTTATTAATCAGATAAACAACAGACAGATAGATAAGTGGATGGGTAGATGGTCAAAATTACTGGTGGGTTTGACTAAAATACATTTTAGAGCTCCAGTAAAATGTACATTTGTTCATTTTGCAGTGCAAATCAAATACTTTCCATCATCCATAAAAAATAAATAGAAATTAGCTAAATAATTCAGTGCCTTCTTGGTTTGGAAAAACATCTTTGATCCCTTTTGAAACATGACAGGAAAATTAGATCAAACATTTGTGCTGTCATTGCAGCAATTTTATTCATTCAAACCAGCATTTTAAAGTATTAGGAACAGACTGGATATTTAGCAACATCCACACATTGTTTCCCTCTGTTTGTGGGGCATATGAGGTAAATGGCTTGTTTATTAGGAGTGCATATGCAAATACATCCTCAATAAGGCTTATGTCACTCCAACAGGCGTTGTTTTACATGATTAAACAGTTCCCATTCTTTATATTGACTGTGCAGTTTATTCCCAGCTGTCTGTTTTCAAAAACTTCCCTTTCTGAGACACAAGTATTTTCACTGAGCTGAAAGGGAGCCGTGTACTTTAGTTAACCACATCCCAGGGTTCCAGCTCTTCAAGGGGGAGGGTTTTAATGAATAAGTGTGCCTTTGTTAGCCTTAGACCAGCGACTTGTTAAATGGTCTTTAAAATGTATCTAAAGCCTCATGTTTGCTCTGCTTTTGTGTTCTCCAACTCCAGATCTGACAGCTCGGCTCTCTTGGATAAAGTGGGATTAACTGCACTGTGGGCCGGGAAGAGAGATGCCTCCTCTCCCTCCTTTCTCACGCTCCTCTTCAAAGCTGGCATGGCACGACGACACCACGACATCTGCAGACTTCTCACCGTGTTACACCTCCTGGCACTCGGGACACTTTTTATATTCTAATTTGTTGTGGGTTACAATCAGACCCCTTTTGCTCATCCAGACGGTCATTGTTTGTTGTAAATGAGGCCTTATTAGGACAAAGCCGTGGCACTTGTCCTTGTGTTGCTAGATCAGAGAATGGGAATTCGGTAAAAGTTCTGTTTTTTTTGTGCTTCGCTGTTAAAAGCAAATGTTTTAAAGGGTTTGGCCTGATGACCACATTCAGATTTTAAATAGGCTAAGTGGCACCTTAAAATTATTTTGAGCAAACGCAGGTAGTTTATCACAACAATATTTATTTGTTAAGTTATAATTTTTATTTATTAAAAATGTTTTTTTTAAGTCTTTCTTTTGAAGTTTGTTTGAGTGACTTTCATATGCGTATTTATTTGAATATATTTATTTGAAGGCCTATATAAATGCTTGTATTTTCTGATTGTATTTTCTGCAAACTTTCTGATTGCTAGTAAATTAAAAAACTTAAAGATAGGCTACCTTTATTAGTCTATACCTCAAATGTTACCAAATGGTACATATTAGTAGGCTACATTTTGAAATGAGTGTAATTTGCTTCCCAGCAGCAGTCCCTTACCAAGGGGGCCCACATTTGTTTTAGCCATTTCCCTTTTGTTTTTAAAGGCTCTCGACGGGACCCTCAAACTGCAGTCACTTACAAACAGAAAGCCGCCATGATAGGAGCGAGAACGCATGATGGTGTTTGAATAATAGATGAGTGGAGCAGATACTCCGAGCGAGAGAAGAGAAAAAGCTAGCAGGGGTGAGCCATCCTTAACGTTTACCTTTCGATTGAGGTGTGTAAAACATGTGTCTAATGGCCCTCGGTGGATGTAATTATAGAGAGCATGTGGAATGGGAGGCTAGTCTCAATCTGTCGGGCAGGTTCTGACCCTGTGATAGACTTGAACGTGTGGTCAATGTGTCCTAAGAGCTCCCGGTTAAGGCACGGTCACATTTACCGTGGCTCGGAGAAATTTCATGAGGTAAATCCAATCAGTCCAGAAGGAATCTTGCTTTTGGGTGAAAAAATACTCCACGCAAATTTCGCTCATCATGATCGTCAGTTAGTCAGGCGAATTTGCTGGGTTGACCAACAGACAGCAGGCTTTTTTAAAAAGTGACTTTCGTGTGGACTGATTGTCTGGTCTCTTTTTGTCACGAGTAGTGTATTCCTGCAATAGCCTAGGCTACTGGATGCTGCAGTTTCAGGACTGCATTTCTAGAACCCTAGTTGTTGTTGTTGTTGTTGTTGTTTTTAGCAGTTTATAGCCTATACTATTTATTTAAAGCATTTATATACTATACAGGAATATACTATTTATTTATTCCTTCATGATTTATTTTCAGACATCATGAGAATAACGGTATAGGCCTACTTGTTATTTTAACGTGACATGTTATCAGTCACTGCTTTCTTTTCCTCGTGATGATTTTTTTTCCTTTGGCATTCCGCTGTAAAAGTTTGAAAAAGGACGTCATATTCGGCACATTTGTGGTCTGTTCTCCCGAATTTAATTTACGATATGGGCTATATGCACGCATAAATTCCGCATTTGACGTAAGGATGCTCGTCCATTTCCGGTTGTGGAGATAAAGCGGAGGAAAACCGAGGAAAACGGGATTATGGCAGAGTCTTCAATATTTACTGTCCTCCCGTCTTTGAAACGAAACGTACATACGTTTAGATGTAATTTTATATATAGTTATGTTTATTTAATATAATTTTAAAAAGAAGCATAAACACAACGAGGGGTGTCTGTTTTATCTGTTTTTGTGACTAACGTTTCATTAGTATAACCATGGAGTATAAAATTCAATATAAATTCTCGGTATTGCATTGGACTCTATGATCGGCGGAAGTTATCGAGCATCCTTAATCCTTCACCGGAAATAACGCCGTGCATAGAGCCCATTCTATGAATAATTCACTGCACAAGAATCTCTTGTTATTCTCCTCAAATCCTCATGTCCCAGGTTTGTTTTCACGGATAAATGCAATTTATCTGTCAAAATGACGGGAATCACTTTGATATAGTCGCGTACTGCTTAAGACAATGAACATTTTTGATTAAGGCTTGTTAAGCAATACAGATATTTCAGCCCGTTCTCATCCCAAGCCGTCATATAGCCTACTGACGCTTTTGCCAATCCGTAGACATCCAACGCACATGGCATGGCACCCTTTAGCGTCCATTTGAGATGCAGATATATATAAAAGCGTCAGTATGACACCTTGGGATGAGAATGTGTTTGCCTACTACAGTGATATTTAACCAAAGACTCGCACATATGGGGCTATTTTTGGTCTGTTAAAAGTACCTGTTGATTATTTTAAGCTTTTAAATTTTATTTTAATGTTCGATGGTTGAAGGGTGAGTCGATTAATGACACTTTTTTTTAACATTTTCTGTTCTTAGATCGAGCCTTTCACTGATTGTTTAAAGCTTAACGGAAGTTACACCCATTATTTGCGCAAAGCGTCATGGGGCGTAGGACTAAGGTGGATAGCCTAGCAGTTCGAAAAAAGGTTTGATTGACGGCCAGAGTGAAATCGCCCAAAAAGAGGCGGTACTCCACAGACCGCGACTTGCCGCTGATTGGACTATATCCAGAGGCAGAACAACAGTGACGGCTAGCGTAACTTTGAATCATTGAATGCTACTGTCTATGGTTGAATGCGAATGTGATTAAAAAGTATGTTTCGCACTTTGGTTGTGGTGCGTCGCCCCATCGCCCTAATGAAGAATCCGCCCCTGGGTTTGGTCCTCTATAACTTCACCTGTGTGTGTCATTTTCACACAAATCCTCAAGAGCTGCTCCAGTAACGCATAGCCTTCGAGTTGTGGGTTCTTATGGCCGGAGCGTTGCAGTCAGTCTTTAGAGATTGGTACTGACTTTCTTTATGCATTTGGCTGACTCCTTCATCCAGGCTGATGTTCTTACCAGAGCCCCATGTCCATCTCTGGAGGCAGCAACAGGTGTGTGATGACTCCTCGCATGGGCTCTAGCCATCGATCACCATATAACACGAGCTCCGCTGTTCTATTACAATACCAGCGGCTTTAATTACTGCACACAGCCAGAGTCACGTCCATTATTACAACTTGTATGACCCCAAAAAGGTCTGTGTTTTAGTGCTCCATGCTGTCAGAGCAATGTAGAGCTACAGGTGGAGATCCGATTTACCTTTGGGACTCGTGCTTACTGTACTGACTCAAACGGGCTGGACTTGTGTGCATGCTGTCATAATGCTGTTAGTTGATCTTCAACACAAGAATTCATTAAAAATGTAGACTGTAGACTGAAAAATAACAATGCAACAAGGAATAAGACTGGGTTATTATCATTGCCATCTAGTGGTTAGTTTAATTATCAATAGTGTTTTTTTTTTTTTCTAACTTAAAGGCATAGCTAAAATAGCACAAAATAAAAGCATACGAAATGAGGGTAAGGTCTATATAATAAAAGTATCCACATTTTTTTTTATAGAATCATAGTCTGTGACCATGGGTGTCAAAATAAATAAATAAAATACATTTCAATTATAAAAGTATTATAAAATCAGTCCAAATGCACACTATATATCTTTTTGCACCTCTTTTCCATATAACAGAAGTTTGTGACCATGGCTGTAAAAAAAAATAATAATAATAAAAATAGCATCATAAAAATAGTTCATGCACACTTCATTAAGCTTTCTAGGCAATATAATCTTAAAAAAAAAAAAAAAAAAAATGAAAACAATGACATCTGTGCACTAATGAAGGTTGTCATTGTTTCAGAATATTATAAAATATTTAATGGAGACAATCAGATCTAGAGCTTGAAAATGCCTCCATTATGGAGTATGAGACATTCAGTGTGTTTCTCGTCTGTCTCTTGCGTTTACAGAGTTAGTGCTATAATTCAGCAATGAAATAAAGTGGGGAAAAAACAATTAAGCCTAATAAACACTTGTATCCTGATTCCTGACGCTATATTCTTACTTATTTCTTTTTGCGGCAGGGTTCATTTATTTATGGCCATCCATCCTAAGTTACCTTGTGTCAGAAAGGTTGAGGATGAGTCCTGCGGGCAGGTCTGTTTATTGTGCATTTCACTTCTCTAAACATCAATATGACAGCACTTCTTCTGAAAGCATGCATGCAATAGGACAAATATCAATCACCAAAGATAATTGTATTCAGGGAATGTAGGAAATGAGGGAATATACAAATCAATTGTCACGTAAAGCCCCTCTAATCAAAATAACAAACGTCTAAACAAGGATAAAACAGTGAAGGCAGTTGAAACCACAGCTCTCAAACATTAGAAAACATTGCCATGCCTTCTCGAATTGGAACTGTCTTTAAGAAATAAACACATTGATTGAATTATTTGCATAGACACCCTGGAAATCCTTAGGGACACCATCAAACATTGAGTCAGGGTCTGTTTATACATCAGCAGAGAGGAAATGTACATTCTCATACAGTTATTTAGATGATACTACAATGCTCTGAGTAATTGATCTCCACGTGCATGTGCACCACAGTCCCTCTGCAGATCTGAGATAGCTGTGAAACACATTTTAAATGATCCACCTGCTTTGCTCATTACCGCGGGCCCCCTCAAGGCCTACTTACACACACACAGACACACACACACATTTAGATAGTGACTCAGATTTACTAAGTGGGGAGATATGCATTTTTCCTTAAAATACATTTTGGGAATGTCAAGGTTTCATTGCCACAGGGACATATGAGCCCATTTAAGAATACCTTTAGGATTTTTAAACTTTCTCGCTCAATCGAAATCACAGCATGCTTTATGTCTGGAGTGCTTTTTTTCTTCCTCTTTCAAATCAATGGAAAATTCTTTAATCTGTATATATAATTTCAGAACTAATTAGATTGTATTTATTAATTAATGAGTTTATTATTATTGTCTGTCTAAGTGTCTGAAATCACTAAAAATCTGGACCTTTTCTCCTTTGGAAAGGTTTTGTGTCTCTGATTTTTTTATTTATTTATTTATTTTAGTAGCCTATTTTAATGTTATTTGAGATTCACTTAAAATGCTGAACATTTTTTTTTTTGCTAAAAAAATGTAAATGTAAGAAATTGTTATTTTCAACCTTCATTCTGACCCTCTGACTGAAATGATCTGTTTTAAAGGGTTAGTTCACCCAAAAATGAAAATTCTGTCAGTATTTACTCCCTCTCATGTTGTTCCAACCCCGGAAGACCTTCGTTCATCTTCGGAAAAAACAAATTAAGATATTTTTGATGAAATCTGATTGCTGGATCACTCCTCCATACTAGTCCATAGGCTTCTTGAGTAATTGAAACTTGCCGGCCTCGAAAAGTTATTAAAGACATTGTTAAAATACTCCAAGTGACTTCAGTGGCTCAATCTTAAGTCTAAAGGTATAGGCCTTATGTTGTTTTGAAATAATGTAAGAAATTGAGAAATATTTTCGATTCTGC